AGAATTCCCACTGCAAAACAGACTCAGCCCATACTAGCTCTAGACAGAGCTCAAAATCTAGTTAACACCTGGAGAATTTGTGCCAGTGAGGACAATAGCATTTCAGCTGCTTCATCTTGCTTTTGTTAAATGGAGCTGAGTTGGGTTGTGATGGATAATGATCATTCTATTGCAATAGTCCCAAATGAGAATTCAATGGCCAATCACTTCAGCACTCCCAGTACATGATAATCCAAACTCCCATTTTACCTCATTACTGAGGCATTGTAACATTGTAGTCATCATTGTGATCACTTCAGGTACAATGTAGTATCTCAACAAAGTGTTACATTTGTGAATTTCCAATCCACAAAGACCAACCAATCAAGTGTTGCTCTGAAGGTCTAGCAGTGATGAGAATGAGGTGGAGAAGCTTACATGAGGGTCAGTCTGGGCAGTGACAAGTTGGTGTAGATCCAGCAAACTCTGGTTCACATTCTTCTCCAGATCCAGGGCAACCTGCATTGCCTGCAGACTGTTACCCCACTCATCCCTCTCTGGCTTCTGAGAATGGAAAGAAGGACAGTTAAGCTTCAGAATCAGAATCCCTGCAGCATGGGATCAGGCCATTCTGCCCATTGACACCACCTATGACCATTTGAAGAGCATCCCACTTGGTCCTGGTCCCAGCCCCACCCTATTCATGTAATCCTGCATTTTCCATGGCCTAACCTCCTAACCTGCACATGTGGACTGTGGGAGAAAACCCATGTAGAGATGTGGTGAATGTGTAAATTCCAGTCAGTCACCAGAGGCCAGAGTTAAGCCTGTGTCCCACGCACTGATGCAGCAGTGCTAACCACTGTGCCATCCCTGAAGCCCAGATGAAGAACAGATCAGTTATTTGAGAATTGCTTTCACCTAGCACCATTTATCCTTTGTATGAAGCTGTCAATTCAGGAACAGGTCATTGTGGGGATAAGAATTAAATTTGCACAAAGTTGTTGTCAGTGTCCATCTGGTGGCAGCCCAAGGGCTCTTGTTATGCAGTGGTACTGTCCCTAGGTCTGGAGCATAGGCCCAGGTTGAAGTCCCACCTGTGCTTATGGTTTCATACATGACCGAGCAGGATGATCAAAAACATCACTACTATTTAATTCATTGAAGGGACAGCAACATGTTGACAATAAAAAGGAACAAAGAGGACAAGACCACAGATACTTCAAGGATCAGTAAATGTAGACAGGGTGGTGAAGTTGCCTTCCATGATGCTTGTCCCCATTTGTTGGGGCACAGTACAGGGACAAGTCTTGTCACAAACCTTTACAGCATTGGCCAGGCCAAAGATGGAATACAGTGTGGTGACCATAACCAGAATTAGATGGACAGAATGGCATTGGAGGGGGTCACCACGATGTTGCCCCAAGACTGAAAATCCATTAAAGGAGAGATTGGATAGACTGGGATTTTCCCTGGAGGGAAATTGGTTGAGGTGCTTATCTGATGGCAGTATTGAATATTGTGGAGTCTTGACAGTAGATGGGGAGTGTCTGCTATGAGGGGGTGAGGAGAACAAGACATTAAAGACAAGAGGGCACAGGTGTGAGGAGTAAGCAGGTTAGAGGGGTTTGGAGGAATCCTTTGCCCATTGAGGATGGTAGAAATATAGGATGCACCTCTTGAGGGTGGTGGAAGAATCTACTGCCGCAACATTTAAGCAGCATCTAGACAACTGCTTAATGCCAGGGCATAGCAAGCTGTAGACCAAGTGCAGGTAAGTGGGATTGGTGTGGTTTGGTGTTGTTAGGTTGGCATAGACATGGTGGGCCAAAGGGCTCATTTCTAGGATTTCTTTCATTTTAGAAAAGAAACATGGAAGCCAAAACAGAAAAAGTTTTCACTTTCTTTCAGGATGTGAAATTCTTATTACTGGAGGACTTGAAACCACACCACAAGAGCAGCCATTTCTCACATCTCCTCCCCACCACCACCAAACCTGCCACCTTCTCCAACTCCAACCTTCACATCCTGGAGTAGGACTCTGCCTCCACGCTGATTCTGGAATTTCAGCAGCTTCTCTGCATGTTCCTGCTTCTCCTGGGACTGATCTTTGAAGAACTGGGAGAAGTGGGGGAGGGCAACATCGTCCTGGTCAAAGTAGGACATCTGGAAGACAGAACATGTTCGTGTCCCATGAACACATCATTGACCCCAGTTCTCATGCTGAGAACTAAACAACTGGTTTAGCCTTCTAAAGCAAACTGATGATTCATTCAATCAGCTGTTAATTGTTGATACCTTAAAATGTTTGAGAACCCAGTGTTGTCTAATTAGCCAGCAGCTGGAGGAATCCAGACAACCCCAGCTTCCTCCAGGTAACATGCAAATTCAGTGTGTTTTGGTTTAAAAACACCTGTGGAATTGTTCGGGGGTGGGGGGCTGTCTGGCACAGAATAGAGAGAACAGCTGAACGCACATTTCCACCATCTAACCTCCATCAGAATTGGATGAAATTGGTGATTGAATAGGGTTGAAACAAGTGCCAGGAGCTGGAGTGCAGGATGCACACAGGGTATGGCAACGGCAAGGCACTACATTCCTCTGGTGCTAGAGTAGTATGCAGATGTTGGACACTGCAACTAACAACCAGTAGGGAGCAAGCTTTCTGCAACCTTAGGATCAATGGGATTGGACGTACTGTATTTATTAAACTCTACAAGACATGCATGTCTCTACAAGACATTCTCTTGTGTGCAGGAGAATAAGGGAGGTTCACACCAAGATTCTGCTAAGGAAATCCTGCCCAGTGACAGCCTTTGGATTGTTGCAGCAATAGTTTATCACACACCTGTTTATACAGTACACTCACTGCTAGAAGCTCACAAACAAGCAGCAAGTGATTAAAAAAGTTCCATAAAACAAACTGAAGCAAGGTCAAATATTCAGGAGACCTAGTGGCTGATCTACAGGTCATATTGATAATGTCACTCATTAACACTAGGCTGGAGAACTCAAATTGGCTTATTCCAAGAGGCTAAGCTCTTGTTTTCCCACCCATTTCACTCACTTCTCAACTGAGATTTACAATCCAACAAGTTATTGTTGAAGAGCTACAACTCCAGTTGAAGTAGAAGTGAGTAGTCTATTGACTGCTTCTTTAAAAGCAGCTAGGAGTGAATTTTGTTCTTAGGAGGAATCCTGGTGAGAAGTTCATTTAACCCTCAAATTCAAACAAACAGTCAAGCAAAGAAAAAAGTGGTTTATTTTGGTAGTTACAAGTTGTGGCAGGTGTAGAATAGTGGGGATCTTGTTATTGGCACACCAGATTTCCCCATTGAGTTGGGACACTGGTCAGTGATTAAAACCCAACAACTAGCTCACCAATGAAAGCTGTTTCCACCTCCCAAATGGAGCTTACAGGGATTTCATCCTCATGTCATGACAGGCACAAGCCCAGAGTGTGATGAATATTCTCCATGTGTCTGGAGAAGTAGAGCTACAACATGGAAGTAGCAGACACCATCCAGGACAGAGCAACCCACTTGATTGGGACTGCATTCACCACCTCCTTTCAGGTGTCCATTATCTACTAGGTACCCTGCAGCACTCACCAAGGTTACTTCAACACACACCTTCCAAACACATTCTGCCCTTTATCCAGGTGGTGGTGTGCCTCTGCCCTTCCAAAGGGGCCAGTTTGGCTCACATCAGGATAAACAGCATGGGAGCAAACTCCAGTTCTTCACCATCACTGGGTCAATAGACTTAGCATGTTCCAGCAGCCCCCTGGAGGGATGGAGAGGGCCTGCACCATTTCACACACCAGAGCAGATCAGCTTTCTGTAGGTTGTGAAGTGATGGAGCACACCCACTTCACGATAGAGTACAAAAAGCCAAATATAGGAGGCCTACTTAAGCAGATACCAGCCAGTCTTACCTTGACGACTTGGGTTCAGCTTAGCCAAATCCAATTTGTCAAATCACGACAATGCCTTATTGCAAATACTAAATCAGTATGTTTATTTACATGCACTAAAATAAAGCAGATACATTAATAAAAAGGGTAACTCACCAATGGTTATCCTAATTCCTTTCTAAACTACTGTCAAGTTTTGATGATCAAAGAGAGAGAATAACAGTTACAGGCAGTCACAACCCTATAAAAGGAGTTGTAACAAAAGTCACAAACCAGTTCACCCTCCATATATCATTGGGCCAACTGGGATCCTCAGTTACTGTATATCAGTATCATACCCCATTACTATTACAAAATTACATTTATCCTGAATTGTGGAATAGGTAAGAGATACAAAACAGTCTACAAGAGTGTCAACTTAATTTAAAAAAGGGAAACAGTTTACTTCAGCATAACAGATTTAATTTCAACCCCACAGGGACACCACTCACCAAAGACTGATAGAGATAGGAGGCAGTGAGCTCCACATTAATCTGTTTGTTAACAGCAGCTTCACAATCCTGGTGATAGTTTTGACAAACCTGGGAGGCCATCTTGTGATAAAATGGGCTTTTCTTTTCCTCAACAGCCAAATTATAAATAAGAAAAGAATACCAACTACATCTAAAACATCAGAGTCTTGGGACTCAGTATTTATACTCCAGGAGCAGA